TTCGCGCAGTGTTATTTCGGTCCTAGTTGTGAAAGATATTCCTCAAATTTCCTATGTGTAAAATCCTATGTTTTAACTCATTACGGATGGTCTTTCCAATGAGATATTTTTTATGAATATGACAATAATGTTAATCAAAATTACGCACATGAAATACGTAGAACGTTTCGAGTCTCATCCACTCATTGTAAATCATTGCCGAAATAAATTTCAAGAATTAAAATAGAAATCCTCCCCAGTGGAGTCGCCAAAAACTGTAGGGAATATTTCAAGCGTTATCCCAAACTTGAACCCCACTGTGATCATACACTAAAGTACGGTGGCTTCCAAAGGGAAAGAAGATAGAGCAAAAGAGTCGCCAACAAGTTTTTAGGAACTTGTAAACCGTTCACGAGGTGAAGGTTACACCCCTTAACGATCCAGGAGATTGTCAACTCCATAAGGTCTTGAACCAAATAGGGTTCGGGGATGAAGGTACAAATCCAACATAAAAGAGATTGAACCTGCCCTAATAATAGGCCTCTAATTTATTCTGATCGTATTCATGTACGCTTTCTGACTAACATACAATAAATAAGATTAACCATAAACCTGTTTATCTATGTTGGTTGAATATTAATGCACAAATAAATCTATTATTGGCGACCACTTGAATTATAATCATAATTAACCCTAAGCGTGATTACAAGTACAAATTCCCTTTAAACATGCATAAAAGGTGAGATCAAGAAATAACAATAAATAATATCAAGCAACATGATATTCATCAAAATAATTATAATAATCATCATATTCATGTTAAAGCATAATATTAATAGCAAGATCCTACGCATGATACTAACAAGATTAATAACAAACCCTAGCATGTCACTAAGCAATATGTGTTTTACATATGGACATAGGAAGCATGTCACTAATAAAACCATGATACTAAAATATATGTGTTCTACATTAATAACAAACCCTAGCATGTCACTAATCCTAACATGATACTAACAATCATAAATATTAGGAAGAACATAAGAAGCATGCTATGATCAAAATGGAATTTCCGTGAATATCGATATTGGAAAAAGATTTTTCTTGGATTTTATTACTATTATCCCCCTTTTTTTCACCTCTCTTATTTCTTTTATTCAGCGGGAAAAGTAAAAGATTACTTCGTTCGTGATAGTCATTCATTTAATCGGTGGATAGGAGCATACTCTGGATCGAAATTTGTGGGAGTACTGCTTGATCATCTCTACAAATTTAAAGCCTCAATTAGTATTTCTTGTATGTAAAAATCTTTCTTCAGATAACTTACATAATCTCTATTACAAATTCATTGTGTACTTTGGTGTTCCTAATCATCCACTTTTTGGTCAATTTCTATGGTAAGTCATGTATGGTAATACATAAAAAAAAGATAGTAAAAACTTCCTAGAATTGTTCTTTTCAACCCGCTTCAAGTAATGATGACTAATTAACCAATATTGGGGGAAATAACCTTGACTGTTTATGTTTTTAACCCTTGTACATAGGCAATCAAATTCTATTTTTTACTGCAAATTTCGAAGCTGTTTTCTTTCACTCATCTAACTATCTGATTTACTTTAATCAACCCGCCCCGTGAAGAAAAAAAAAGATCCTATTCAATACATTTTTCTTCTTAGAAACCTAAAAATAAACGGGGAAGGGTGAAGACCTATGTTTTAACGAATCACACGTAGCGATATTGATAATACACATAGAGTTAATGGTATTTCATAACTAATTGATTGGGCAACAGCCCGTAAACCACCTAAAAAGGAATACTTATTATTTGATCCATATCCTGACATAAGAAGTCCAATGGGAGCAATGCTTGAAATAGAAATCCATAAAAAACACCAATACTGAGATCGGCTAGAACAAGGCGAGACCCAAAAGGAATTACTAAATAACTTAGTAGAATTGATATGACTACTATAGAGGGTCCGATACTAAATAAAAGTGCATCCCCTCTAGATGGAAGAAGGTTTTCTTTTAAAAGTAGTTTTATTCCGTCCGCTAGAGCTTGAAGAATTCCCCAAGGACCAGCATATTCAGGTCCAATACGTTGTTGTATCCCTGCGGATATTTCTCTTTCTAACCACACAATTACTAGTACACCTATTGTAATTCACAATACAAGAATCAAAATAGGGAAAATCATCCATGTAGTCTCATAAACCGCTTTTAAGGATTCCAATCTGGAAAAAGAATTGATAGCTTGTACTTTTGTTGTTGTATCAATTATCATTTCAACGATCAACCTCTCCCATAATGATATCTATGCTACCTAATATCGTCATAATATCAGCCAATTTCATTTTTTTAACTAACTGAGGAAGAATTTGCAAATTGATAAAACCCGGAGGGCGAATTTTCCATCTCCAAGGAAAAATACTTCGATCTCCTATCAAAAATATCCCTAATTCACCTTTTGGTGCTTCGACTCTTACATAAAGTTCTTGTTTTGACAATTCAAAAGCAGGAGATGGCTTTTTACTAATGAATCGATATTCAAAATCATTCCATTCAGGATATTTTATTCTACTAAAGGGTCGGATTTCTAAATTCTCATAGGGACCTCCTAGAATTGCTTCCAGAGCTTGTTGAATAATTTTTACGGATTCGGACATTTCACCGATTTGTATTAAATAACGAGCTAATGAATCTCCTTCTTTTTGCCATTGAACTTCCCAATCAAATTCATCATGACATTCATAATGATCAACTTTACGAAGGTCCCATTGTATTCCGGAAGCTCGTAGCATAGGGCTCGATAAACCCCAATTTTTTGCTTCTTCGCCACCAATAATGCCCACATTCTCAACTCGTTCTAAAAAAATGGGATTTCGCGTAATAAGCTTTTGGTATTCAGCAAGCCCTATTAAAAAATAATCACAAAAATCTAAACATTTCTCTATCCATCCATAAGGTAGATCGGCAGCTACCCCTCCAATACGAAAATAATTATGCATCATTCTCATACCGGTGGCAGCTTCGAATAAATCATATATTAATTCCCTTTCTCTAAAAATATAGAAGAAGGGGGTTTGCGCCCCGATATCCGCCATAAAAGGGCCGAGCCATAATAAATGAGAAGTTATTCGACTTAACTCCAACATAATCACTCGAATATAGGTAGCTCTTTTAGGTACTTGAATATTTCCCAATTGTTCTGGTCAATTTACAGTTATTGCTTCTGTAAACATAGTAGCTAAATAATCCCAACGTGTTACATAAGGCAGATATTGTATAATTGTTCGGTTTTCTGGAATTTTTTCCATACCTCTGTGTAAATAACCTACTATTGGTTCACAGTCAATAACATCTTCACCATCTAAAGTGACGATGAGTCGGAGAACACCACGCATTGATGGATGGTGAGGTCCCATATTGACTATCACGAAGTCTTTTCTTGAAGTAGGTACAGTCATAGGTTTTTCTTCGATTCATTCTTTCACAAATTCATTTTTGCATGAATTGCTGAAAACAACAAGGTATTCATCAAAATTCAAGATCTAATAAATCAAATAATTATAATTCAAAACAACTCTTCACATTAACGTGTTTTTAGTTCTCGAATGTTCAATTGACTTATTAATTCTTTATAACGTATTCAATTTTTCTTTGACAAATAAGCCAGCAGTCGTTGACGTTTTCCCAGAATTTTTCGTAGCCCTCGCTGAGATGAATAGTATTTTTTGTGCAATTGCAAATGGGAAGTAAGTCTTCGTATCTTATTGGTAAAACAGACTACTTGAAATTAAACAGACCCTCTGTTTTCTTCTTTTTTTTCCTCCGAAATAACGGATATGAATGAATTTTTTTTCATAAATTCTTAACCTTCCTTACCTTTTTTAGCAAATATTAAATTTTACCGATCAGTAATAATAATACCAGCTATTTTAATCTGGTATATACAATATCTTAAATGATTTATTTTATTAAAGAAACTTTATAAGGTTTATTATGTTGATTCATTTCGGGTATAGTGGATACGTCATCGAATTAGTATCATGTATCAGAATTGAATGTTTAATAGCGTGGTTATGTATCTATTTATCTACCAAATAATAGGAAATCAAATGTATCATAAATTAATTTAAAATTGCGGATACATATGTATTCTAGCATCATACTTTTAATCATACTTGATATTAAAGTTACCCTAGACATGATACTAGGAATTAAAATAACAATCTAAGCATGATTTCTACATCATAAAATCAATTAAACCACTAAAGTACTTACTTGGATGCCTCGTATCTCTTTATAATAAAAAAATACACGCGTTAGTAACTTCAAGGAAAATAATAATTAAAACAATTAAATTAAATAATTGAAATAAAGATTTCGGACCAAACCCTCAGAAATTAAACCTTTCATGTCTAGGGCGAAGGCAACTTCGAATATGGCTAGGTGTTTCTAAATCTAATGAATGCGAAATTTTTATATTTCTGAGAAGGCTAGTATAGAAAAGAGAGAGAGAGAATAATAAAGGGAATCTTGATGAGAGTTGGTGAAAATTGGTGAATGAAAACGGAGTTTTTAGAAAGCTATTTATAGATAAAATCAACCAAAAAGATAAAAAATCAAAACAGAGTTCTGACGCGTAAAACCAAGGTTAGCGCCAGACGCTGACATTAGCGCCAGGCGCTAAGCGTAGCGTCAGGCGCTAATGATGGCGTTTGGCGCTGACTAAGAAATTGATGCGTTTTCTTAGAACCAGATAGAAATTGCCGTACATGAGGGTAAAATCGTATTTTCCTCAAAAAGGTTCTTTTATTCTAATTAAAACTCTAAAAAGTCAACAAAAGTCAATTTATCCATGCTAATTAAATTAGGAATGAAAAGAACCTTCTAGAAAGAAGACTAAAACCATTCCTAATTGCATTAGGAATGATAAATCTATATTAGGCCCTCCTCTAGATCATTAGGCCGCATATAAGGCTCAAACCAGGCCCAGTTAAGTAATTTGGCCATAAATAAGCGTAAGCATCCTGATTTTGTAAAACGTTCTAACCAAGCAAGAGATAATCGGTTATCTGGCCAAACATTAGAGAAGTTTGACCCTGGCCATCGCCAAGGTAGCATATCTACTCCTCAAGTGGTTAAAAAAATGGTAAGTGTATGATTTTAGCAACAAGCTTATGATTTTTAATATAAGATAGAAGCAAGTAGAAACTTTTGAGCCACTAATATAGATGACTAAACTGGTCTTTATTACAATTGCTCTGTATTCTATGTCCCCCTATTTTTTTTTGTTTTTCTTTAAGTGCTAACAACTTCTTCTAATACAAGGCAAAGAAAAAGGATGGAATTTTACCAACTGCTGGTGAAGTCTATGAGAGAAATCATTCTGTTTGTGTGGGCAATGATGAAGTTGAATTGATGGGTGACAAGTCTCAAAAAGTCATGGTATGAGTATACTTCTATATTTTTCTAAGATTACAAAAAAATATATGGTAGTTAATGTTTAGAGATATTATGGATTGTTTATTTGTTTGTGTGATTGAGTTGGAGGATGAGAATGATTTGCCGGCATTAATCATATGATTAATGTGGTATGGAATAATGTGAATTGAAACAGGTTTATTTTGAAGCCATACCCTATAGGAGGGAATTCTTCAATTTACAAAGGAGACTCTGTCGAAATTTTTACTAATAACTTCTTACATAAATTATTTTGCTATAAGTGTTGCATCTTTTATTTTAAAAAAAAAACAACGATAATAAAAATACCCCTGATCCTCTGTTCCCCGATAGTTGTACCTTTGTAATCTGGAACATCTATTAAGAGGTAAAATGACACTTTTACCCCTAATCCTCACATTAAGGAATTTCTAAACCATCACCACCCACCCTCAAATTAAATTAAATTGTGTTTTAGAAATCCAAAATAGTTTTAGGCTCGGACAATGTCCCAAGTCATTGCTTGTATTTTTATTATAGTTGTTTTTATTTAAATGTATTTAGTTTATTTAAGTTTTAACATTTGAGATCATAGTTACTAATACATATCTTAATGCAGGGAGAATATATGGTTAACTTGAGGAATATAAGAATAAAGGAATTGAGATAAACCCCGACAAAGTCTACTTGAAGGTTGTAGGTGGGCAACAGAAAGGAAAAGTCTACGGTTTAGGGAGTTCTTCACAAATGTATTACAAGAGCGATCCTACTTCTCAATCTACTGCATCATCTTCTACTCCTTCCATGATTTCTCAATTAAGTTCTCAAGTTGAAGAACTAAAGAAGATGGCGGAAAAAAACCATAACAAGGTGGAAGAAAGCCAAAAAATAGCGGCAGAGAGCTTAAAATGTGCTAAGGAATTCGTCGAAAATCATGAGATCGAAAAAGCTACACGGAAGAAGGAAAAATTAGCTATGCAAAAAACATTGCAGGAAATGACATCACTTGTAAAACAAGTTTACCGTCCTTATAGCCTCCTACGCCTATAGTCACCCGCTCTCGTGATACAACTAAGTGATTTTTATTTTATTGGTGGTAATTTTATGAACAACCGGTCTTTTACATTGTCACTAGGTCTTATTTGAAGCAGCTTTTTTTATATGGGAGGTGACTTTTGGAACAATTCGTCATATGAGTTAAATATTGTTTTTTTAATACATTGATACAAAATTGATTATATTTTGGATATTTGAATAAAATTAACATTTTGGTTATTTGAATTTATGCGTGGGTACCTTTTTTTGTGATTGATATTGGTTGTCGCTAAATTATGGTCTCAAATATTTATCGTCAGTCGCAAATATTTAGCGACTGCAAATTTGGTTTAGAGACTGATTCGTTAGTTGCAAAATCATTAGTCTCAGTAGTCGCTAATTTGTCACAAATAATTAGTTTTATAGGCGCAAAAATTTGTTTTGTAAGTAGTTGCTAATCCGTCGCAAAAAACATTAGTCTCAGTAGTCACAAGTCCATCGCAATTAAACTCGTCTTCGTAGTCGCAAAAGTTTAATCTCGTAGTCGCAAAAGTTTGGTCTTGTAGTCGCTAATCCGTCGCAAAAGTAGTCTTAAAACATTGGTCTAAGTAGTTGCTAATCCGTCGCAAATATTTTACGACGGACAATAATTTAGTTGCTAAAATTTGAAAGTTAGTCGCTAAATGGTAGTTGCAAAGGCGTTGCAAATCCGTCGCTAAATTTGCGACTGTCCAAAAATTAGTCGCAAAAATGGATTTGCGACGAGGTCTTTGGCAACGAACCAAAGTAGTCGCAAATCCGTCGCAAATCCATTTTTGCGACGGATTTGCGACTACATTGGCCGTCGTTAATTACCCTTTTTCTTGTAGTGGTTTATAGAAACGTCAGTTTCAAAAACGATACTCAAAGTAGTCGATAGGGACGGAGAATGATTTAAGACGTTTTGCGATCCTAAATCACTCTTTATACGCCGATACTTGTAGGAAAATGTTAGTTCTACAGATAAAAGAGTCTAGGGATAGAATGCTTATCTGACACCAGTGTATCGTTGAAAAATGTGTTTGGTAGCTTCCTATGCTTGAAGGAATCCATCGGATGACGTTTGTTGAAATGCTTTCCATGCTTGAGGAAAGCCGACTAACGAGTTTGGTAGCTTTCTATGCTTGAAGAAATCTACCGGATGATACTTTTCATGCTTGAGGAAAGTCGACAGATTATTTTGGCAGGTTTCTATACTTGAAGAAATCCACCGGATGACACTTTCCACACTTGAGGAAAGTCGTGAGGAAAGTCGACAGATGATTTTGGCAGGTTTCTATGCTTGAAGAAATCCAGCGGATAATACTTTCCATGATTGAGGAAAGTCGAAAGATGATGAGATTGCAAGTCTCTATGTATTATGAACCTTGCGTCGTGAAATGATGGTGGTTCGATTGTCCCCGAACGTGGGCTGAAGTTGGTTCGCTTGTCCCCGAACATGGGTTGTAAATGGTACGTTTGTCCCCTGACGTGTGGTGTATATGGCCCGCTTGTCTCCGGACATGGGTTGTAGATGGTTCGCTTGTCCCCGAACGTGGGCTGTAGATGGTTCGCTTGTCCCCAAACGTGGGCTTTAAAGGGTCCTCTTGTCCCCGAACGTGGGCTGTAGATGGTCCGCTTGTCCCTGGACGTGGGCTGTAATTGAGACCTGCAAAATAAAATTTTCCAAGGGACTCGTATAAACTATGATTGACTTGACCAACTGACTTGACCAAGCCTGACTTGACACGTCATGACATGTGTATAACTTATGGTTGTGTGTGTGTATGGTGTGTGTGTGTGCAGACACAAGCAACCAAAAATGCAAAAGCAAAAATTTTCCGTCATATTTGTCATGTGACGAGTGGAGCGACTTTTTCGAAAAAGAAAGACATGAAAAATGAAATTTTATTTTTGAACTTCCCTCAATAAAAGATTTTGAAAAAGTTTTTGAACTTCTCTAAAAGAAAAGGAAAGAAGTTTTGAACTTCCTCGTTGAGCAAGACAAAATGAATCGCATGGATTGAATTGCTTATCTTGAAAATAATTTATGCATGATGCATGTTCTTAGGCCAAGAGGCTAAGAACGATTACATCATGTGACACGATAGATGAATGAACTTAGGTCATGGAGCTAAGCATCATATATAGTGTAAAAAAAATGATCTTAAACGTCACTTAGGTCTGGAAACTAAGCACATATGTAGATGGAATGATTGATGAGTAATGCATAATGAATGTTTCTTCACTACTACAAAAACTAGAATAAGAAACGCAAGATATAGAACAATTAAATTAGATATGCGATCTCTAGGATTATATAGAACGCCTATCTTAGTTAACCGTTCTATTTAATTTATTCATTTTATTTTATTAAATTGTGATTTTATTATATAGAACACATATCTTAGTAAACCGTTCTATTTGATAAATCCAAATTTTACACTGACAATATAAATCGTCCCTCCTAGTTAACCGCTCTATATGTTTAACATTATTTTTAAAAAAAATAAAAAGAAAAAGCTAATACCAAGAGGACCAAAATTCTAACCCTAACTCCTATTTCCTCTTAACATAGCCGTCATTCTCATTTCCTCTTTCCTCATCTCTCACGCACTTCCCTCCTCTAAAACCCTTATTCCTTTCTCTTCTCTCCATTCCTCAATGTCCGATCCTAAAAAACTCCGAGCTGTCCAATTATCTTCCTCTCCGTCATCTTCTTCCTCTATATACAACTATCCTATTCGTCATTGCATCGCTTTATTTTTCAACCCCAACTCCAACTCCGATGCAGTACGGTGCGCGAAAGCTCGAACCATTGCAATTTCGGTTTTGCTCTGTTTATGGTCGTTGTTGCGGGTTTAATAGAGTTTTACATTATCGAGGTAGGTGGTAGTTGCAAATGGTGGCATTGAATTGATTTTGGTGGGTCGTGTGAGGTGGTTGGAGAAGTGCATTTATATTATTAATTTTAGATCTTAACTCTTATCAGTTATCAATTAATTTTTATGTTATGATTTGGATTATAATTTCTGATTTTTCATCTTTCATTTGTGGGTGTTTAGTGAGGCTTCACTATTTGCGTGCACTATTGATGGAGGAGCTGTGGTGGTTGAGGTGGTGGAGACGCTGCGGTGGTCGAGGTTGGTGGAGGCGCTGGTAGTGGCTTAAGTTGGGGGAAGCGCTGCTAGTGGTTCAGGTTGTTGAAGCACCGCTGCGGTTGAATTACCTTTGATAATTCAAGTTGCAATTTCGAATTAGTTACTAGTTAGCAGTTTAGCACACTAATAATTATTAAGTTAGCTGTAGTATTGTATCAAATGTACTTGAGATGTAAATATTTGAATTTTTTTTTTTATTGAAAGATGTAAATATTTGAATATAAAGGATAATAAAAGTTCATTTTAATTTGATATTTAAGTTATACAATTTCAATTTGATTTGATTTATTAATTTATGGTGTTAATTAGTATATATGCGTGCAACCTTCAAAATTAATTATTAAACAAAGAGAACGGTTATCTTAGATAACCGTTCTCTTTTATTCATTTTATATAAGCATATGAAATAGGAAAGAGAACAGTTATCTTTTGCATATAGAACGCCTCTTATACCTGTTCTCTTTTGTCTTGCATATAGAACGCCTCTTGTACCCGTTCTGTAAGCTTTACACATCGCTTAGCAGAAGAACGCCTCTGAGGCGATCTATAAAGCCTATTCTAACAGTTCTCTAAGGCCTTTTTTTGTAGTAGTGCTTAGGTCAAGGAGCTAAGCACGATATACGATGCATGAAACAATGAATATTGATCAGGTTAGGAAGCTAAGCAAGTATACAATGTTTCTTCTAATGAATGTTGTCTTGAAACATGCATAGTGGGGAAACAAGATTTCACGATAAAGGGTTCCTAAGGGAAAGATGATATGGCTATGTATGTGTGCAAGAAGTGTGTGAAAGTGATACTAAGGTTGGCTGCAAGGGTTATGGTGATGGAATTATATGTGAGAAGTGTCAAAGATGATGACTCTTTAGGTTAGGTAGGCTAAATGATGTGTGTTCAAGCCCCCAAGTATAGCTCTAAAGGGATAGAGGTAAGCAATTGATATTCTTTACCTCGATCATGCATGGCTATGAATATGAATGTGGCCGCACTTCGAAGTGAGATTGCCTACGTATCCGTTAGGAATCAGGCCAAACGTAGCTCTAACCGAACTTTGCACAAGTGTATGTACACCTCAAAGAGGTCTTTCAAGGGTTGTAATGGTTAAGATGATGGTTTAAAGAAGAAAAGGGTACAAGGCTCAAGACCCGAGAGAATCCTCAAGATGTGTAATTGTGAATTTGAAAATTTTGAATTTTGCAAGTTTATTTTCATTTTTTCCGTTTTTTTTGAATCAATGCAGGCATTCTTAGATCATGCAGTCCGTCACTCACTTAGCATTCATTTTTCTCAGGCACGGTACCAAGCACTCGATAAGAGACGCAATTCGAGACATGTTCGTATAAAAGACAATGGAACACTTGCCTTTAGACATTGTTTTATTGTTGCTTTGCTGCATTTTTTTTACTTACTTTTTGAATGTTATACAATTACACATCTTCCAATCCCAGGGTTAAGTGAATGTGGGTTGAAGAAATGAAGGCCAAACGTTAGACGAGGCTCAAAGTGGTTGATGAAGAAATGGAATGTGATTGAACGGTTAACAGGGAATGACAGGGTTGCAAAGGTGCCTCAAGTCATTTGTGTACCTTGTGTTTAGTTCTGTAATTGATTTTTTTTAGTATGAATGAATGAAAAATGCTATGATCGAGATGTAAAGGAAATTTGCTCATTCTATTAATGGAAAAGGTGAACGAAACACATGAAACATATAAAAATTCGAAATGGAAAACCTATGCTAGACATGAATGGGGGAATGGAGATGAATGATAAAGAAAAAAAAAATCATGAAATCTTGCACGAAGGATTTGCTGTGCGCCTTGTGTTCATTACTTCTTGTCGCCTGGAGGGACATGAAGTTTGTTTGCATCCACCAAGTCTTGAATGACGTCCTTCAAATTCCAACATTGCTCCGTAGTGTGGTCCCTTCCTTGATGGTACTTGCAATGGGCATTGAGATTCCATTTGACGCTCCTTTCTTCAAGTTTTGGCTTTGGAAATGGCCCAATAGGTGTGATCAAGCCTTGACCATAAAGGCGATCAAAGGCCGCATCATAATTCATTCCTAGAGGAGTGTAACTTCTTTTTTTCTTTGGCAATGGAGCATCAAAAGCTAACACTTCGTTGAGATCAACTTGGCTTATATTGTTGGTAGTATTTTTGTGCTTAGAAGACGAAGAAGAAGGATGGTCGTTCTTCTTGTTTTTCCAAGTGTTATTATTGTAACTACCAGCAGTCTTTATTAGCTTATCCTCGATATTGATGTCGATGTCGTATACAGCTTCGAAAGTGTTCAGTGGATGAAATTTGAGATGTTCCCTATACTTGTGAGTCAGATTTTGAATAAAGAGGAAAACCATCTCTCTTTCTTTAGGAGGATCTACCAAGAGTGAAGTCGTTTCCCTCCACCTGTTCAGATAAGCGGTGAAGCCTTCATTTTCTTGCTGTTTGAGAATGGAGAGTTCACGTTTAGAAGTTTTAGTTTGAATGTTACACTTGTAACGATTCAGGAAACTATCGGTGACATCTTGCCAAGTCGTAGTACGCTTGGCATCTAAGGAATAAAACCATTGTTGGCAAGCAAGTTCTAAGGAGAGAGGGAACACCGTAGGGAATAGTGTTAGGTCCAATCCCTTAAGAGCCATGGTTGCAGAGAACGCCTTCAAATGGAATATTGGATTGTCAGTAGGCTTAAACTTTTGAATATCAGTAGTGGAGAAATTCTTAGGGAGCATGTCTTTTACATCCAAAAGAGTGGGAGGTTGTTCCACCTAAGTGAAATCCTAAGAAATCTTACTCATTTTGTTCCTTCAATTTGTCAAGGGTAGAAACAGTGACCTTGTTTTGTTCCATGGTAGTGACCCTAGTGGTAAGGGTTTCCATCATGGTAGACAGTCTCCATGGATTTGTTGATGTTCTCGATATCTTCCTTAGTGGCCATTGAAAAGTGATAATTAATGTGGAGATGGCAAAGTTCACTTTGAACGCCTTTAGGATTTAAGAGATTGTTGCGGTAATGACTCAAACCGTATTAATCACCCCTACTCCTTGACCAATTACTATAAAATAAAACATTCACTTAATTGTTTGACTCAATGCTCAAGGTAGGAAAGGAAGGGAAAAAAATAGACATTTGAATCAGGTGAGAAAACTCCACTCATTTTTTATGACAAAAAAAAAAAGGTGCATGAACCTAGTATACGATCATAAACGACATGGTGCATGACTCGAGTCGAAACATTAAGAAAGTGTGTGGACTATACTTAACTCGTGAGTGATTAAGTGATGTTATAAGACTCGTGGTATGATCGTATTGCTAGATATGTGAACAGTAACCAAAATGACTGACATGTGGACCAAATTAGCACGGAAGACCAAAATAGGGGCTGACTGGACTTAAACTTGGGCACCGTACCGCGGCGCAACTATCGTGTCATGGCAAACCTGCACCGTGGCGCGGTACAGATCACCGTGACATAGTACTGATTATCGTGACGCGGCGTTTTTTTGTCGTGTCACGGTAATCAGTTCCAGTTTTTTTTGTTTTTTTTTTTTTCAAGTTTTAGGAATTTTAGAGTTTGCGCTAATTACTAAGTGAGTATGGTCCATTGGAAATCGTTAGTCATAAAATAATCCACCATAGATAAAGAAAGATCGTTAAGGTTAGGATCAAAACGATCAAATATGCACACATAGAACATGTAAACATAATGATGCAAAGAAGAGTTCGCAACCTAAGTTCAATTCTATGTTAGACTATGGTCAGGTTTATTTGGTGTAAATAGGGTACCATGGTTAAGAGTTTGGACGCGTTAGCAAGGCAGCCTCCCTTGAGGGTGTATGCCAACGGGCGGCTCCGCGAGTTCGTGATGAAATCGAACTCGACTCCATGGTTGGGGTGGATTTAAAAACTCGAATTAACCCTTATTTCCATGAGCGTTTTTAGGTTGATAGAGCTTAAACCCCCCGGGGCTAAGACGTATGTAGAACACACACGTTTTTTCAGAAAAATCGAAGGAAGCTGACTGTGAGAAGAGAAATAAGCCCCTGGACAAATATCAGGACTGCCGCGACACGGCAGAATCAACCGTGTCACGGTGCTGGACACCGCATCACAGTGCGCTATGCCGTGACACGGCAAGCTCTGCCGTGGCGCGGCAGTAAGGAAATCTGACTGGTGCCCATATTTTCTTCATTCAAGGTTATCCAATTTTTCCTACGGGACAGACCTGAAATACAACGTTAAAACGTCTATGCATATGTAAAAATGCCAATTTAATCATAGGAATATTTTCAAGAATCTTTCAAGTCTCATCCACTCATCTTAATTAAATACTGATCACTCAAATCGATAAATAACCAAAACTCCTCCCCATTGGAGTCGCCAAATTGTTAGCGTCGTTCGAAGTGCACCTACGTTTAAGCATGTTGTGAATATGCTTGGCACTCATAGGAAGTGGGAATTGAAATATACGATTAAGTACAATGATTAGGGACAAGGAAAGTGAGGAGCCGCCAACAAGTTTTTTAAGGAACTTGTAAACAGTTCACGGATCATTTAAGGCAACCACGATTAAGGGACAACGAAAGGCAAAAACGATTGACCTATGAAGGTTACACCCCATTCATAATCCCTGAGATTACTAACTCCATATGGTTCGGAACCACGAAAAGAGGATCGGGGACGATGGTACGAAGTGAGTCATGGAGTCACATTCGCCTGTATTGGCCTCTACTCGATTCTTATAGTGAAAAGTGATTCCTGCGATCTCAACGGCATGCAAATAAAGATTCAATTTGCTCCAAACTATTATTACGCTAAATTGGTTGAATATTAATGCAACACATAATTCTAAAATATTTGTGATCACTTGAATTAATAACAAGATTAAAAAGGAACCTAAATCGGTCGTCCAAATTATCTTATTAGGCGTGATTTTCAATTACATATTCCCTTTAACATGCAATATGGTGATAAAAAAACTTAATAGAATAAACATTAATATTGGAAGCAATTTAACAATAATATCGTGAATCAAATCAAATATAAATAAACATAATCATGATACTAGCAATATTAAAAATAAAATCAGTAATTAAATTAATTAACTACTCACATTGTGCGTGTTGCTTTAAATTGCTACATCAAGAATAAATTGTTAGTAACTTCAATAAAAAAACATAAATCAAATGAAAATTAAATTAAATAAATGTAGATTTGAATTGGTCCAAACCCTCAATTAATTTTACCTTTC